AGGAATCTGCTATGCCTAAAAGCTTTTGCAGCTCTGAGAGGACTTGTCTAGCAGTATTACTTTATTCTATGATTGCAAAAGTCATTAAGGAGTGTTTTAGGTGAAAACCTGTCTAGGAAAGCAAAGCCAGAACATTAGTAAGTAAATAATTACTTGTTCTGTCATGCACTAAGCAGGCTAATATCCTCTCCAGCGGAGGGAGGAATGCACCAGGACACTGAGAATAAACACCTCAGATGTGGACCAAAAGGCACAGTTTTGCAGGAAATCTAAACTGACACAAATCAGAAATAATATTGGCTATTTTGGCCAGCCACTGGACAGCAAATTGTCTTGGGAAAAGGCCTTTTCTCTTTTACCTCTGATTCTGATTGCTGCCTGTCTCCTAGGTTCCTATTTTTGGATTTTCAGCTTTTTGGAGAAGATAAAATCTTTGTTTCCTTGTACTGTAGCAAACTGAGAATACTCTCAGCCTTAAGGCATTAAATAATAATTCTGGGAAACAAACTATCAAATGAGGAAAAAATTGATTTCATACTTGTACAGAACTTGGAGGTTTTTTTTTTTTTTTTGGTATCTCTGGGCTACTCAGGTGATTGTACAGAGAATGAATTGCTCTGTTTCCTTAATTCTGAACTTCCCTGTTCCCTGGGATCCACTCAGGACAATTTACTTTATTTGAAGTTCTGCAATTATATGGAGTGGAAAGGGTGCTATTAGAAAAAAACCCATAATAATTGTCCCATTCTGAATATCAGTCTCCAATACAAAACTGAGCTTCCGAAGCAACTAAAAGCTATTCGAGTTTTTAAATGAGCAATTTTTCGGTATCCACAGATCAACTTCTGTTTCCTGCTTTTTCTATGTTAGATGCCAGTTAGCCAGTTAAATACTGTTTGTACGTAACTCAGTCAGAAATGTCTCCAAAGAAGGTGGCTTGTCTCATTATCGTGCTCTCGTTTGCCCTGTGACTGCCCTTATAATCCCACAAAGTGTCATATTCACCTTCTGTGCATGCACGCTCTCTAGGTGAATAAAAATGTCTTGTCTGTAGTGGATGTCTCAGAGACTTTACACCCAAGCTGTGATTTGATCTTAGCTGAACAGACGAAGGACAGGCCAATTCTGTTCAATTTAGTTCTTCAGCTCAGATGTTTTCCAGAGAATGTGCAGAGAGACTGTTTTTGCGACTTTGCTCATAAATCGTTTTGCAGCTTCTGTTTGAGATGTGCATGAATCTGCTTAATTGCTTGGGTTTTGCCCTGCAATCTGTGCCCAGAGGCAGCACAGTGAATTAGGAGAGAAATGCTGTTTAAACTAAGCACTTTTCCTGCAGATGAGTAAATACGCTATGCGCAGAAAATCACAAGAGCACCTCTTCAAGGTGAGGTGAGTCTCCATGGGTCTGACGGCCCCTTCTGGGGATGCAGCACGGTCCTTCTGTGACCATGAGAAGAGGCTGCGCCATGGTCACTGCTTGTGTCATGCTGGAAGCTTTCATAGGGTTTGATTCAATGCTTCTGACAGCGACTGTCTGCTTTTTGCTGCCAGTGGATGAAGTTTGCATGCGTATGACCTGCATACTTCATAAAGTCTGCCACAGTTACCTGCACTGTCTGCCCTTGCATTTATTTGCTCAGCCAGCTGGACTGCGGCGCTTACAGATCATGTTCTCTGCAGTTTACATCACAATTACATAAAATGTGTTATATCAACTTGGAAAATAACTCGTAGCTGTGGCAATCAAATAAGCAATGAAATGGAAAGTAGCAGAGGCAGCAGGCATTTGCTAGAAGAAAAAAAAAAGCCAAAACCCCCCAGTTCTTGGTAACCTTTTCACTGTAAGCCCACTGATATGTTATTTCTAGTTCAGTGGTACTCAGTGGGCCAGCAGCCAGAGCAACACCTTTATAAATAGTTGCTTTTTATTGTACCTGTGAAGGGCTAAAATTAGTAAAACAGGGGCTGCTTTGCGGTCAGGAGCTGTAGGCAGGTATTGTGGCCAACGGTAAACCTGTCAGGCAAATCAGCTGCTGGCTTCCAGCTGTTGGTACGCTAGCTGTTAACCTGCCCCGGGCTTCCAGTGTTCACCTTCAGGCCAAGGCTGCGGAATAACTGGGCTTTGGAAGAGGTCAGCAGCTGATGTGTTCAGCAAATCTGGCCACTCATTTCGGTAGCTAAATGAGAGTTGATCCTTTGGAAAAAATGATCCTAAGTGTTTTGGCTTCTCAATACAGTAACAAGAAATTGCCCTGATTTGTGCAGTTAACAACTTCGGGGTTTTTTTTGCAGGTCTGAAGCGCAGTTACACTTGCAACACCTGCAATGTCACGCTGAACTCAATAGAGCAATATCATGCTCATCTGAAGGGCTCCAAACATCAGACCAAGTGAGTACCTTTGTATTTTTCCTGATAGCCTTCGATCTGTCTGTACCTGTCTAGATGAATAGATATAATAATAACACTTTACACACCAATAAACCTGTCATCCGAAGAGCTCTGAGTGTTTTATAAACATAGATATTGGAGGTACCTACAGGGACAGAAATGCAGGGCTGAATCCAGATTGTTTTCCCTGTATCCCCAGAAGCAGAGTGCTGTTTGCTCTTTATTTCCTGTCAGTCACGGCATGCCCTAGTGAAAACCTGTTGTCAGCTCATCATTGTGCCTTTCGGGAAGCCTGCTGCGTTTTGCTGCTGGACATTCATGCTGGTTTCTCAGGTTTTTTGCTTGCAGAAGTCTGGTTGTCCTGCAGGCTCAGTGGGGACTGAGGAGTCCTGCAGATGTCCTTGGACTGGAGGTTCTTGTCTGGGTAGTTAAAACGAATAGAGGTCCTGCTTTCCTGAACATCTGTCCTCTCTCCTGGAGACCCCTCCTCTAAGCACCCCTTTTCAAGATATCCCCACACCGGGTTATCTTTCTGAATGTCATTTTGGTCTTGGCCCTTTCCTTATCTTCTCTTTCTTAGATTATAGGCTTTCAGGCAGGAGAGTTTCTTACTTCTGCTCTCTGCAATGCTGTTTGCATGTAGCACAGCCCAAGCACCTCATGGCTTTGCACATCTTGTAACCCAGCTGAGGACACTGTTGTTCCACCCCGTTGAAACGCCCTTGGCTTGAGACCTGCCAGAGGATGGTGGGGAACCTGTGTATTTGCCCATACCCTCCTCAGACTGAAAGGTGCATCCTGTTTTGGGACAGATAAAGAACAAATAGGCAGTAGTGACCCAACAAGCTGACAAGCTAACAGTATCCAGTCTTGATGTCACAAGCGTTCATGCCTAGTGATACTGAGTTTGGAGCTTTCATGCGTTACACCTCAGGAGAGACACTGAGAGTATAATGGGATCAGAAGTTTCCGAGTGAAAATGTTTACGCTGTGATTTAAAGCAATTATCTATTAGCCAACTTTCTGAGACTTGAAGGGAGTCTGCTCTGTCAATTAGTACAAATTGCTCAAATGAAGTGATAAAGATACATGGTACCAAAGAGTAGATTAATAAACTAATCTCTTTTAATACACTTATATGTGAGCTTTGGGAACTGTTTCAGGCTAAAGTACTGAGGACTGCCCAGATTAGAAGAGGGATAGAAAAGGTGCCATTAGTTACTGGAATACTGCAGGTAGTTTTAAGAGCAGTCTGAAAGATAAGGCAGGATGATCAAAGCCAGCCGCAAGTAGCAATGTCTAATTTTGCTTAAGTTACCAAAGGACAAACCCAGTTTTTCCCCAGCTGATGTTAGACCTTCAAAGATTCCCTGTACTATTCATATTAGCTCGATCCTATTTATTCACTGAGTGTTTGAATGTCTCCCAGATATTACCCTTCCTGGACCTGAGCATGTCCTCATATTCGGGATCTCAATTAACAGAAGAAACTGATGTCATCAGATTTCTTAATGAGGTGGTGTTCTCCCTCCACCCTTCTTACGAAGGATGTATGAAGTCCTGCGGAAGGAAGGGCGTGTGTTGAGTGACCGCTCATTGATTCAGCACCATCTGCTAGTCTTGGTGGTTTGTAGAGCAGAGGGCTGGGGTCAGGCAATCCAGACGCGGTTTTGGGCGGTGCCACAAACTTTCTGTGTGCCGTGGGTAAATCATCTACTGCCTCCATGCCTCTGTTCTCTTTTAGCACATCTAAATGTTAGCATATCCCAGCTCCACCAGGTTACGTATATCGCGTACAGGTACTGCGCTGACAGGAGCAGTGTTAGTACATAGCACAACAAATTCCCACTGCTGGAAGACAGAGCTGACAGTTCTTCCCATCGGAGACCTGAACGGAGAGCAGCTGCAATGTTCTGCCCAGACGCAAAGCTGTAATTTATCCTTCCTCTGCCAGTCTTTTTGTGTTTGTGTTATTATTAGTCTTGCTGCTGCTGTTATTATTGCAAAGGATAAAGCAGTTCATTTCAAATCAGAGCAGCCTTGTGGATAGGAAATAGAGATGTGCAGAAAAGACGCACTACTATTTTCAGCATCAGGAGGGGTGCCTGTCTTCATAGTGTGGTTAGACGCATTCCCTCACACTCTCTGTTTTATGCCCGTGCCTTCTGCTTTTGTTTTTCAGTCACCTGCAATTAGCAGTGTGTCTTGTCCAGGTGAACCCTGCAGAAGGATAATTCCTTCTGTATCTATTGCTTTCCCAAATGCTTTCTTCTAACTTACTCTAACAAAAATTTCGAAGACTGAGGATCTTTCTGCTTCATCTTTTTCTTTAGCTGCTCCCTAAGAGGGAGCGTATTCGCTGCAGAGCTCTGGATTTTTTTTTCCTTGACTTGAGCTGAGTATCTGGGTAAAAAATCAGCAAGAGTTAAGATGATAATTCACATGCCTTTATTGCTCCCCATAGGAGAAAATAAACTAAACTGCACAGCTGAGAGTGTTTGACAGTAGGTCAGGCTATAGCACTGGGAAACTGGAGGAATCCCTACTTTGTGGCTGCAATGATTGCTGTTATTTGACAGAAGTACCTCTCATCTTTACTCAAGCTTACAAGAGCAACTCTTCCAGACCGGAAACACCAGGGAACCAGGCTATTGACAAAAAAGTCTCAGAATTCGGACAAATGTTGTACTTAAGATCAAAGGGCAATGAGGAAAGAAACAGCACACGGTGCTGGGAGGACTGGGACCAATATTTCCTCCAGTTATATTGGTGGAGTATCCTGGCTAGGAGTTAGCAGTTTGGTTTTCGGAGGCTCTGGTGTCTCAAGCAATCTCATTCGGATGCCAGCAAGCCAAATGACATTATGTTGTTTTAGTGTAAAGGCTCAGTGGAATCCACAGATTCCAGGGATTTCTGAGCTCTGAAAAACACAAAGTATTGAAAGAAAGGCTGATTTCTCTTTCATCTCAGTGAGGACCAAGTCAGCCAGTGCAGGGAACACCATAACGGCCTGCAGGACTTCCACGTTTTTTTTAAGGACCTTCCTCTTTTGCAAATTAATATTCTTACTAGTCTTTCTAAATTTAGTTTCTTATCGTTTATTCATAATGATTTAAATCTGGCCCCAAGAGATCTTCATGGGCATTCAGTATAAGAGGAAACAAAGTAAGAAATTCATAAGAAAGTATGTTAAAAATGTAATAATGGAATACCAATTAGAGACATTCGTCTGACCAATTTCTATGGGAAATTGCTCTGATCATTCTATTTCCTCTGTTCATTGTTCATTCTTACACAATTTTCTTTGATGCTAAGTATCTCAATATAGTAGCACAGATCTCTTCTGTAGGAAAGTACAGCAGCATGTGAGACAATAGATGGGCAGCTTAGGTTTATACAAAACAAAAGCTTTTCTCACTGAGTAGTTAGTATGTAGCAGATTTTATTTTCCTAGTTTAAAGAAGTTTTTGTGGCTTCGTTGTCTTCTGTATGTGACTGATGGAATGATTTACCCTAATCTCTTGTGCTGAATCAGTGCAGACCCAGCTCCAGTTTAAGGGGTCTGTAGCAGTCATCTGCACTACTAAACGTAGTTGGAGATACAGCTTTGGAATAAGTCTGCAGTGTCTTTAAATCAGTTCTTCTATTTGTCGCATACACAGAGATGACCTTGTTCACAGTGTTTGTGCAGAGCCGGGCTGCATAGGCATATGCTTATGATAACAGCAAGTGATAAAAGGATTCAGCAGTACACACGCTCACACTCCTGACTATAGAAACCGCTACAGACAAAGATGAAGAAATCTTCATTGCTGTTCCTGTAAACGAATACCTTGTGAAAAGGTATTCCAAATGCTTTCTTGGACTGTATGCAAGTGACTAAGGATATGTGCCCACAGTTGACCCGTGTTTCCAAAGCAAAGGACTATCCAGAGAAGCAGAAACACAACAAACTGTTTGACAGAGCTGCATCTAGGTTTTTGTAGCGTGCTTTCTACAAGTGATTATCTCTTTTATATGTAGAAAGTTAATGTTGAAATCCAGATGAGATGCTTCTATGTGAGTTTCCACTATCATTTTGTTCCTAGGCCTGGTAGCATCGGATTGTCAAGGTTTAGCACTCAGAGCGAGGCTCAGTTTCTGCAGAAGCTTGGCTCTCCCAAGTGTGGGGTTAGGCAAACAGACTCTGCATTTGTGTGCTAAGTGAGGAAACCGTTCTTCTTGCAGCCCTCTTGTGTACCTTGGCTGGTGTCTTGCCCACCCCTTTGCTCTGTTTTGCTGGTTAGTGCCAAGACTGTCCTCTTCTGAATAACTCAATTTGAGGCTAGTGGATTGCAGTTTCCAAGGTAACAAAACATTTTAGGTAGCTGTCATAGTTAATATAATAAAAAAAGAGGTTTGTAAAGGAGAGGGATTTCCTTTTGGGACAGGTTAGCAGGGAAAGGCGATCACAGGCTGTGGAAGTTGGTGGCACCCAGAAAACGCCTGGCCTTCAGAAGATGCATCTTCTGAAAAGCTGCTTTAACAGAGAAGAAATTGTATGAGGAATGAGTCAAGTAATAGATATGTATTATAGTTCTTGAAAGCTCTCTGGAGGATAACATACAGCCAAGCCATGCCAGAGTGTACTTTAAATAACCCACTATCTAGCAGCCCTTGAGCTATTGCTTAGCAGACCACGTTATTTGGGCCTTCCGTCACTTCTCAGCGTGGGTGCTGGTGGAGCTGGAGCTCTGTTAGCAAAGCTATAGCTGTCCTTTTCTTCTTTCGGTAGTATCCGTAGGGGAGAACTTAGCTGTTTATTTACAGGAATTACAAGGTCTCATCTGAATGCTTCCTACTGAATTTATTTGACCAAAATATGGGGAAAATGGCGGGGGGGGGAGGGGCTTGAAGTGCCTTGGCTGGTATTTTGGTGTTGAATTAAAGATGTAGAGGGAGGTAGCTAGTACTGAGCTAGTCCTTATCCCCCTGGACAATGAATATGCAAAGCAAGATGATGTCTGCTAGCTCCTATTATTTTCTCCAGGGTGCAGATATTTTAAGCTGTATATTTGATGATGAAGAAAAAAAAATGTGTTTTTTTAAATCCTTTAATAAATTCACGAATTTGGGGTTAGAGTCAGATATAGAAGAGTATTTCTGATAAGGTATCACAAATCTGGCATCCAATCTGTTTACATCAGGGTCAGGCAGTGTTCCTCATGGCTCTAATGGGAATTATGCATTCACACAGAGCAGTTGAGCAAGAGCTGCTTTTTAAATGTCTTATAAAAGTAGAGCTCCAGTTTGTGGCTCCGACAGGCGAGCCTGGTGAATGCCTGCGCACACGCATGCACAGAAGCAGGTTTTGAAATGTGGCTGGACTCTGGAACATCTGCAGTGGGGCGGAGCACTAAACCTTTAATTAGGGATTTATGAACTGTGTAGAGATGATTGAGTCATTGTTTGACTTGCTTTCCAGAAATAGATACGTTTTTTTTAATTCCCCCTTCCTCCCCTCCCCTCCCCCCCCAAATTAGCAGCAAACCAGCAGAATGACAAGTAAGGCACAAGACTTGCTGTGGTGTGAGTGCCCATTTGAGCTGGACCGTGGTCAGCAGAGGCATCTCGGTTTCTATGGGGACCAATAGCAACCGAAAAACAAGGCTTGTGAGGAACAGCAGGTCACGTTATCTCTGAAATATTGGAAGAAAATCACATGCCAGCCTTGCTCTTTACTGCTTACAATAGGCTGAAAGAAACAAAACTCTTCTCTCTTTTCAGGTTTATGTAAACTGGAAAGATCAGCTAAAAAATCATTATCAATAAAATAACAGAGAATTAAAGTCCTGGGCAGGCATGAAAGAAGGCAGAAAACATTCAGATTCTGGGGTCAAAGAAATACTAGTACAGAATATTAACTTAGGGCTTTCTAAAAAGCGCTTCTCTTTTTTTTTTTTGTTAGCCTGCGCACAGAGTGGGATTGGGGAAAGTGTGCTGTGTTCGTCACTGCATCCAGGCGAAAATAGCTGTGTGGGGGGAAAACGAATCGAAGGGCTCAGTTCCAGATTTGAAGTAGTTCCTTGGGGGGTTGCAAATGGAAGGACGGAAGATCCTGTTGGTGAGAATACTAGAGCCCAGATCCAGATTTGATGCAAGTGCCATCTCTGGGTTGGTTGCAAATATATCAAAGGGTATAATAATGTGCAGAGTACCGAGAGCTTTGAGTTATCCTCTCCCATTCTGGCTGTCAGTGATTGGAGGCTGAGATCCAGCCCTAGTAATTAAGAGTCTTACGATACAGGGATAATAATTCCAACTTCCATAAAGAAGAATTTTATCTTCTAGCCTTTATTTTGTCTCTTTGATCAGCCAGACCTCTCTGCCATGTCTGGAGCTCACAAATGCGTTCTGGAGTTTTATAACTGCTCATTTACACATTCATAGATGCTAATACAGGCCCAGGTTTCCCTTTCAAATTCATGCTTTCTGATTAATTTTAGGATTTTTGCAGAGACGGGGTCCAATCCTGCAGCTATTGCTCTAGTAAAACCGATTCAATGGGAATGTAAATGTACCAAGGGAGCGCAGTATGCAGTCTAAGAGTCTAAATGAATGCCTGGGGATTGCAAATAATCATTTTTACTTTGGAAGGTGTGTTCTGAAGATCTTTCTTCATGGCCCTTCAGGTAGTCATTGGGTTGCCTCCTGCTAAAGCCCAGGTGATTAATGGCCTGCTGAGGAGCAAATGACAGCAGGCTCAGTGCCCGTGAGGTTTTTTTTTTTTTTTTCTGATTGAGAACACAGATGTCTAGTTGGAATAGGGTATTTATTAACATAAGCTGCTTTGCTATTCAGAAATCGGAGCTAATCAAAATATTGTAAATTTTGTGCCTGGAGAAATGTCACTCTTCACCATGATTGCATTTCCATATTTTTTCCAATCTATTTAAGAAAGTGTAAACAAATATTTACAGCCTGTTGTGGCTGAAACATGTTCTGAGTTGTGGGATCTGTCGTAGGGAATGTGCGCTTAGAAGAAGCTGAGAAATTAATGCAGCAATATCCCACCATTTCTCTTGCTCCTGGGTTGCCTGGGCTGTGCTACAGTAGGTCCTTGGCATTAACCGCATGCACACCAAAGCATGGAGTGGGTGCTCTGCTGGTCCTCTTCAGGTGCTGTAAGGCTATGAAGTGGCACAGGGTCTGGGGCAGTCCTCGGAGGAAAACGAATCATTAGTGATCTCCCTGCCTCTGTGCTCTAAATCGCAGCAGAAGCTGAGAACTAGCAAGCCTTTCTTCACCGCGGAGGAAAGCACGCTTGCTTGTGATTTCCCTTGGACGAGTAAACATGTCGAGCAGCAGGCTGCCTCCGGGGACTCTTCACAAGAACCTGCTGCTACCATTGCCCTTGTTTTTCCTATTAGAAGAGTGTCTAGAGATACTGATTAGGAACCAGTCATGCCAAGTGCTGCACAGACAGGACCAAGCTGTCCTTCCTCTGAGGGTTTTTGCAGTTTAGTACATGCCAAAAGAGCAAGAGATAAGATTAAAAAAAGGCTTGGGGGTTCCTATCCTGAGTTCCTTCATGCTGGATTTTATGCAAAAAAAGTAGTTTCTCTTTTCCCCGGAGCTGGCCCCCTCCCGCGTGCCCTGGCAGCCCGAGGGCTGGGAGGTCAGGCTCCCTCCGGCCAGTTCCTGCCAAGCAGGTCAGATGTGACGGAGTCAAACGTCAGCTCGGAGCCGGTTCCCTTAGGATGGGATTCATCCCATCTTCTCTGGAGTCCGAAAGGCCATCATCTGCCTTGGGTCACTTGTGCAAATGCATTGCCAGAGAGGGGTTCGCCCGGTTTTCTTCATGTTATTGGCCTAGAGAATAGTTGGTGGATTTTAAGTTGTTGCTGCTAGTCTATGAAGTCGATGGGTGTCCTTGGAAACACTCCCGTTATTAAAAACAAACACAACGTTTTAGGTCCTTTCAATTCTCTCTATTGCATTTCTGAATACTTTCTTGCAGTTGCTAAATTAAAATTACATTCTTAGGTGTATGATTTTTATTATCATATATTTGTTTTTATTTTGTTTTACAAATAAGTTCCATTCCTACAAAATCCATACCAAGTTTATTTCCAAAATAAACCAAGTTTATTTTCCAAGAATGAACACTTTCTTTGATATAAAGTTCCCATTAAGTTTCAGGAAATTATTTTAAATATTAGAGTTGTAGCATGTACCTGGCTCAAATTAAAATGATTTTTTTCTTATCTTGATGACTGCAACTTTTATTGGTAGCAATGGCACTTTCCATGTGCTTTCTGTAAGATACTGACTGCTGCCTAAAGTATGAAGAAGCCTTTAGAGTGACAATAACTCCAGAAGATGATTAGTTATAAAAGGTAGATGGAATTGAAAGGCATTTTAATTTGTCGTTATTTCAGTGGTTCCAGAGAACAGCTGAATAATTACACTGCCTGTAAAGAGTGAGTGTGTAATACTTTCTCTCATTACAGGATTAAATTGTCTTCATTCCCTTTTAATGTAAGTGAAAATAAAGATATCTCTGATATCTTCTGTTTTGATCATAATTTGAAAGCTGCCAAAAGGCTGGTGCATCTTTGGTGTCTGGTATATGGATTAATTATTTTAATGTAAAGCATAAACATTAGCCCAGTTTCCCAAAGTCTAACTGTGAGATCATATATGCTTTCTGAATAAGAAACTCCTCGTTTGCCAGTGAAGCGTTTGGGTCATTTAAAAAAAAAGCAGGTTTTGTGGGGTTTGCTAGTCTCTTACAAGCAGCTTTAAATTGAGGACCTATAGAAAATACACTTTCCCCCCCAAGCCATTACAGCAATTTTCTATCATAAAATCCAAAACTGTGCTTAAAATTGAGGTTGTATTTCAGGTAGAAATGTTATATACATTTTTTCTTAGAATGGAAGTTATCTCCATTGTTCACATACAAAATTTTTTTAGTTGTTAAAAAAATTGCATGTTCTCCCCAGTGTCAGTTTGCCTAGAGTCAGCTGCTACCTGCCAGATCTTGTTATCGCTTTGGCTGCTAAAAAAGGGGTGGTGTGGGAAGTCCACGGGGTCTGTGGGGAGAAAAGGAAGCGAGATGTTGTGGAGGCGCCAGGGTAAGGGGTGGAAACAAAGATGCACAGACGGAAACTTCAGGAGGTGCAAAGAAACCAAGCCCCAAGCTGGAAATGGCAAGGAAGAAGCTTACTGCTGCTTCTTTTCTGTGTTGCAGCCTGAAAAATCAGTAGTAATTCATCAGTCCAAACAAGGAAAAGCACCAAGACTTCTGCAGAGAGGCACTGATTAGCAAGAAGAAAGGATACTTTCTTGGACAATGAGCGTTTCCTGTGTGGATTCGTTAATTAACATGTAACTAACCTTCGCTTTGGACAAAAACATGGATTTTCTTTTTTTAATTTTGTGGTGAGTTAAAATATTTCGATGGATTTTTTTACCCTTTCAAGATAATATTTATTCAGCACAGAGTCTAAAGTATGATAACTATCCTGTAAAAACAGTACTTAACCGTCACTCACCTTCAGAGACAGTGGGAACAGAATATTTTACTTTTTCATATTTATTCTTAGATTTCTTCCAAGAGTATAAAATTATTCTGTTGCATTATCCATGATAGTGATGTAATCAGTCTCCAACCAGAAATAAACATGATTTCTTCACCACCTCCAGCATGGTTTGTGTCAACAGCAAAAAAAAAAAAAAAAAAAAAAAAAAAAAAGAATTGAGGAATGGATGATGGATGAATTCCTTCCTCCTTGTCTTCAGAGAAAGAAATGGTTCGCTGAACAACGAAAAGTTAAAGAGTAAAATCCTTCCACTGGAGCAGGATGCGCCAAGGCGGCTGCGGCCAGGCCCCCCGCGGCGCCGGGACCCCCTCGCTGCGCGGGGCAGCGCCGGGGCGGTGGCAGCGGTGCAGTCGGGGGAGGCCCCGCTGCCGGGTTTGGTCTCCGGGGGGTGTTGCACCGC